AGAAAGCAAGGTTCTATAAAGTGAAATTTTTACCTCTATTCCCTGCTGTCTGAGGAGCTATGGTTAATTTACTAAACTACAACAGTATTAATGCTACTATATCAGATGGTAGTTTGAATAGTACACAAGGAAAGTGAAGGTTATCCACTCTTATGTGTGAATTAAAAGTATTTGGAGCTAGAAGGTGTTTATTGTGGAAGAACATTTAGACTGCAATTGATGGGTACCAGTGTAACATTACAGCCATTTAAAAAGATAGAGAATGGACTAAGCATTTCTCTCCAGCTAACAAAGTATGAGCTGTATCCCAAGTTTGGATGCTTAGACAGTCGGTAACCCAGGTAGCATTTTCAATAGGATAAAGCACCTTGGATATTAAGTTACAAAGCTTACCTAGTCTTTTAATGAAATATAAAAACTAGTACAGAAAAGTCATGCAAAATACCATGCTGCAATGTGTCCTGAGATGATGGAAGAGGCACACACCCCAATCTGACAGAATTTCTGTCAGCATGTCCAGTCCTGAGCCTTCAAAAGGCAGTGAGGCAAGACAGAGCAGATACTTATAATAAAGCTGTTTGCTTTCCATACTCTCCTGCAGATTTTGTATGGGCACTTGATCAGTTGCATCAACCTGGAACAGGAGCACCCTTCTTACAACATGCACAGAAACAGTCCCTATCCCAATGGAAAAACTCCCAGCACTAGTACGATCAGGCAACGATTGATGAATCTGACCTTTACCACATGATTTGCATGTATGGCAATCAGATCTCCGAGAATTACCTTTCATCTCCATAATTCCTCATGTGCCAGCAGCTGCCTTGGGGGCAAGTTCTTCATTGGCTGCCTATTTAGCAGACACGGGATATATTTCCTGGCTGTCCAATGTCTTTCCCCACCCCCCTGCTGACAGCTAGAAAATGGAGAAGACATAAATATGTACTTGGAAAGTTATATCGTCTTGGGTAAAATGTTGGGATGGAAAGAAATAGTCTCAAACATTTCATTTGGCATTTCTTCCAAAAACAGTACCTACAATTCCAATAGTTTTCCAAGAGCACAAGATAGCAGATGATCACATTACAAACAGCTACAGCCCCTCCTACATCTCAGTGAAAGACATTTCAAATAGCCAGTTTACTTTGTCTTTACTATCTACCAGTGGTCAGAAATAGTCAGTTGCCACAGTTAAGCTCATGAATGACAAGTCACTATCTTGATTAAGCCAGAAAAAAAAGACCAACAAAAGTGGAATAAAGTAAGAAGCTGAGCATCCTTAATTAAGACTTCATTAACAGCATTCTGGGATCTACATATATTCTATATTTCTTTTTTTTCTACTTTTCCTTCAGGATATATTTTGAAGTCCACTCTGAAGAAACCTCTACTGGGCTCTATGACAGTTTTCCAAGAATCAGAATTTGCACAGGTCTCAATTAAAGGACCATGCTGTTACCTTTTAGCTCACATCTTTGAAACAGATTACATGGCATTGTCTATCTTATATGTATATGTCTATGTCAATATTAGGTAATTAATGAGTGTAAATGACGTGTTATTTTCTCTTCTAACTAAAGGCTATGGCATACTAGAAGCTGCCTGTATCTTATATTAGCATTATCCAGGTTCATGCTACACATTAGACGTGGCCTGTGAAACACTTTAACCTCCATGCAGCATAATTCCTAATATCAAATGCTCACACAAAGAGAGGTCAGAGTTGTGAAAAATACTTGCCTCCAACCTCAATTTCCATTTTCACTTTTCTGAATGTTATTAAAAATAGCATTAATGTATGGTTCAAAAACTATTGCTTACCTAAGAATATTTCCCTTTCTCTTCCACAATACTCTCTATATTACTCTCATTTCACAAAGAAGAGCATAAAGGTATTACCTATGTAGTCAAGGGAATTCTGTCCCAAAAAGTGCTGACTGCCTAAAGTGTGGGCAAATTTATCAAAATCTAGATTTGTACATGTTGTATTGTACATTTACTGGACCCCAATATACTTGTAATAAAAAAGCTGAGAAAATGCATGTTCCAAGCATGACAGAAGCTGTATCTTTACTACTAAATAAAATGGACCTGGTAAAACTAGGCATCACAGCCAGCTGGCATGGAAGAGACCTTATTCAGTCCATTAAAGACTCTTAGCCTCTACAATGTGACAGCTGGATACAAACTGGTCTTTGGGACTTTCCAGTTTCAAAACCATGCCTGGAAATTGCCTGGAAAGAATCCCGACAGTATATGCCAGAGTCATGCCGGACAACATTCCAATAGTTAGATAGTACAGATGATTGTGGTCCAGTATCCAGGAAGATTCCTAGACATTTCTTTATGGTTTTCTAGTGCAGATGTAGCCTCAGAGGCCAGCAGAATCCTAACAGATTAACAGAGAAGATCTGGTGCAGATCAATATTAAAACCGAAGTTATAGATTCAAATAAGTAACCACAGGACTGAGTGAAAGTAACTCCAGGTTTCAAACTACAGTTTTGGTGAAGTCCATGCCATTTACAGAGGGTCAGACAGTAGCCAGAGTAGTTCTTTCAGATTCATGGCATACATTATAGTTAGCATAGCCACTAACTCAAAATCATACTACTATAGCTCACTAGGCTGAGGAAAATCCAATTAGCCCCTCCGCTCCTGAATACTACTAAAGACTATTTGCTCGTGGTGTCACTGTAGAGGAAAACAGCACACTCCTATATTCCACAAAGTGTAACTCAACATGACAGCTTTGACTTACGTGAATCTAAGTACTAAGACTCCTAGGTTATTAACAAAATCTTAATTTCCTTGAAGTTTTCACAGCAGTTCAAAAGCACAACACATTTTTATGAGGGGCACAACATTTTTTAGGAAGAATCTCTCCAGAAATTCTTTCCACTTTGTTGAGATGCAACTAGAGTCTACACAGGAAAACATTCAAGATTTACTTGTTCTTATTTTAAATAAATGTTGAAGCTTAGGGATTCAGAACTAAGATGAAGAAAAGGAAGGTATCATTAATCCTGAACTGAGTGAAAAAAAATAATTTCAAATTTATTTTCTTTTTTAGTATAGAGTATTATTTACCCTGTCTTTTGTAAAATGAAGCATATAGACTAGACAAGAGAATATCTGTGTATTTCAGAAAAAGCTCCCTTGTAACTAAGAAAGCCTGAAACAATAGCACTAATGTGTGAACTACCAAATCAGTCTCTGTGGGTGCTACTTAATCTGATCATGCTTTAGCATTAGTAGTTAAGCACCAAAGCAGTCCTAAGAAAATAACTACATTATGAAATCTACCAGTCTAGTGAGATGCTCTTCTGGGAGAAAACAGACATGATTCTGAATTTTCTCTAGAAGACGAGACATTTGGACTCAAGTTCTCAAAAGCCCAAAAGGACTCTTAATAACAATCACACTGGTGAAAAGCCTCACTTCCCATGACTGACCTAGTGTAGGTACACAGATCCAGAACAGTGTTCTCAGCTATTACTTCCATGCAGAGATGGGTATTTCCCTTCTTGGACAGCTAACTGCTTTGAAGGACAAAATGTAGGCTATACTCTTTTCTCTGTCTAGCTAGACAGCTTCCCACACAATACTTTAGGAAACAGGACCTGGAGGACAACATTGAGCATTAGCCAACAATGTGGCCTTACAGCAAAGAGGGTCAAATCCTGGACTGCATTACCAGCAGGCCTAGGCACTGGTGAGAGCCCATTATCAGCGAGGCACCAGTTGCACACTCTCCAGTAAAAGAAAGACATAGATATACTGGACAGAGTCTTGCAAAGGGGCTTACAAAGATGATGAAGGGACTGGAGCATCGGTTGCACTAGGGAAGGTTGAAGGAGCTGGGACTCTTCAGCCTTGAGAAGCGAAAGAGAAAGCTCAGGTGGGTCTTACCAATGTGTGTGGAGTAAAGGAGATGGAGCCAGACCCTTGTTTGTGGTGCTCAGTGAAAGGACAGAATACCACAGGCACAAACTGAAACACAGGAAATTCTGTTTAAATCTAATAAAAACTTCTTCTTTTTTTTGTGGAGTGGCCCAGCAAGTTTGTGGACTTTCCATCCTTGGAGATATACGGTCCTGGGAAAACTGCTGTGTCTGGCTCTCCTCTGAGCAGGGACAATCTCCCAAAGTGATTTCATGAAAGCTATTATCAAGAATATAGTCTTTAAAAATATTTTTGCCTTCATTTTACCTGTAACATTGAAATTCCATTCTAAGTAAAAATGCTGATCTACTTGCAACAACCTATTAAATACACACAAATTTTAAAATTATACCAATAGATTAGAAAATGGTCATACTGTGAACTGTTTATGCACTACTGTTTTAAAGAGCAATATGAAATGAACTGGGATAAACCATTAATTTCCTGGTGTAAAACTAGAGGCTGTGATCCCAGGAATGGAAGCACAACATGAACAAAACTGTTCTCTGAGAAGGCTGAACCATATCTATAACTATATTGAGTGAACTCTGCTTCAAAAAGGCCAAGTTGTTTAGACAAATATTAAATTGGCTTCATTTTGACCATGTCCACAAACACTTATTCATGAATACTGAGTGTAATTGATAGAATATTTGCTTTTAAAAAGGAGATTTTTGATAGGATTCTCTGTGAACTCAATGCTTTACAGAAAGTGATAAGGTGAAGAGAAAAGAAATTATCCAAATATCTCGTTTGTGACCGAGCACTTATCAGTGATAAAAGCTCCTGACCACCGGGAAGCGATAGGAGAGACTTGAGATTGATGTTTATACTGTATTCTCACTGGAGGCCCAAAAATGCTTCACTGTATGTCTTCTAAATATCTTGAGCACCAAAACAATGTCAAGAAACCAAAAAACACAATATATGCTTTCACTGCTACGATAAGTAGTAATATATTGCATTCATGCAGCAGTTTCATGCAGCAGTTGGGCTTTATGGTGTTACATTCCATTTCCTTTTCAAGCACACAATGCATTGGATGGCTTCACTTACTAGTAGGAGCAGCAGGATAATATCAGGATTATCACATGCACAGGCTACATGCATTGAAGTCCAAAAATCCTCATCTTGATGATTTACATTTACTCCTCTGTCAATTAGAATTTCTGCAGCAAATGCATTATCGTAGCGGGCACACTGGAAGAAAGAAGAGCAGATTAGGGATGGTGATTTACTCAGTGTGCAGCTGAACTTATTACATACAATTTTTGCTCCATTTAATGTTTAAATGGAGCAGATGACACACTGTAGTTAAGCTTCTGTGTTTGTAGGGGACAACAGCTGATTAATCTATAGAAACAGTTTCTGGAGAATAAAAGTTCCATGTGCATCACTCACAGAATCCCTTATTCCTTTTAAAAAAGCACTATATGAAGTCTGCTGAAATCTACAGTAAAGATGAGGCTATATTTCTGTCCAATATTGTCATTCCAAATTAGTGCATAGGCATCAGTGCACGAGTATGTTGAGGGCAGTTTCTATACTTTGTTTTGTTTTGCTGATGGAGATCACTGATTTTGGCAAAGAAGATACTGGTTTAGCCATTGTTTTGAGCTTACTATTCTGTCACATCTATGACTTTTCACTGATGTGCTTATGGATAATACTTTAAAAAACAATCAGGGCACCTAAGTTTATATCCCAACTCTAGCTTAACATACAATCTCAGTAACTCTTTAGAGAAGCATCCCCTCTCTTTCCTCACTGGAGAGAGGCTGAAGGGAAACCAGTTTTCTGCATTAGATACTTAGGTGCTTTGAATACAATCCCTAATACCTATGCCTCTTCCAATATTAAAAGCTGTGTTCTAGTTCCCTGTAGATATATGCTGAGAATACAAATACAGTGAAATCTGCAGATAATTAGAAAGTGAGAGCTAAATTATTATAATATGTCTGTATCGGATGTGGAACCACAATATGGCATCCAATTTGCTAATCAATTAATTTAGCATGGAAGCCAGGACACTGGAGGAAAAGGTGAAGAAGGAAAAGTGCTTAACTGGATTCCACTGTGAAGCCAAGACACAGCTGAGATATTCCACTGAATGTATGCACTGCATGTACTACTGCAATCATAAATATTGATAACTCAGAAGATGAAAATAAAACTCTACTAGACTAAAAACAAGGTCTGGCTTTAAATTATTTCCAAACATACTGACCATTAAATTATTAACAGAAAGCAAGTTCTGATGTATTTTCTTTTGCTTGTAACTTATCTGGCAGCCCCAGAAACAGAAGTTTGGTTTTGTTGCAACAGTACATTTAATTGTATCAGTAGTGCAACCTACATAGAGCTGTTCCACATTTTTTAAAAAATAATAATAAATCAGAGACATTTTATAGTAAGTTCAATAGTCTCATAGCAATCACATTTTCAAGACATAGCTAGCTGAAAAAAATTCTAAAGAGCTTTCACACAAAATAAATTACAGATGTCACTGAGTCATTTTTGTATTAATAACAGATCTAGAACCTTTTGTGATTAGCAGACAGTTTGGAAACAGCTAAGATTTGTAACAGCAATTTAATTGCTGCTGCTCCTTGATTTTTGGTCAGTGGATTTCCTGAAGTAATTTGGCAATCTCAGGCTAAGTTCCAGGAGAAAACTGGCACTCATATACTTTGTCACTAGGGCAAGTTGTGTGATTCCCTGCCTGAATTGATGCCACACTGTGTGCTTCCCACTCAATGGGCAACTCAGGCAAGTACTTGCTTATTCAATAATTGTACTCTTATGGAGTCTAATTAGAGTTTAGTGCCACACTTGATTTTTCTTAGAAATATATCACATTTTAGAAATGACAAAAGAATAAGGAATTCTATAATGAATCAGATTTTAAGTAAACTGCTAAATAAATATATTTTCCATTCATTCTGGCATAAAAACATTTACCTTTTAACTGTAAAGAATAAACACAGATCTGGCTCCTCTTTGGAGAAAGCAGCTTACATAGAACTGTGGTGGTAAAACTAGTACTTAGAATGGACTTAAGTGGGCTTTAAAAATACAGTTAAGATGCATGCTAAATTGCTGTTCTGAGCTCTTGCAGGAAAAAAACCCACAGAAATTGGCTTATGTATTTCCCTGTATGATGATTCTCCTCTCCTAACTATACTGCTCCCAAACCAGGATCAAATCCAAGTGTTGTCAAAACCAGGTTTTCCCTTATCTCCAATAGGACCAGCATTTTCCTGTAAATGAATTGTGAGTACTTACAAGTAACCCAGACTAAACCAAGGCAGTAGGTTATACCAAGTCCTCTGCTGCAAATTTCTGACTGCAGAAAGCTTTCTCTCCTTTTGAAGCATACCTGTGCCTGTGAAGCAGCTCCAATGGAGATATACTAAAAGTGACAGTGAATTGGGACATTGTGTCAGAAGACATAGCTCAGTTGCAGATTTGATCTGCAGTTAAAAGGTGTGCATCAGCTGAACTAGGCAAAGCAACCTAGAACATCTAAATATGTATCTTCTTTCTTCTATTTGCCAGTGAGTCAAATGTCACATCAGCCACACTGAAGACAAAGATTCTCCTAGGGTTTTCAGCACCGGATAAGATTTGGGATGCCTCAGTTTTGGGAATAGCAAAGGTAACACCTCATACAGGTTGCATTTTTAAAGACTGATTGAGCATATTTACAGCAGGCAAATAGCTGGAGGAGACAAAAGAGAACTTGAATTTTCTCTATTCCAACTCATTACTGAACCCCTCCCTTACCTAGGCATCTATTTCTGAAAGTCCTTGGTAAGTAGCATGGCCATGGGAAGATAGAAAACAAAGATTAATTGCACAAAGGAAATGCTACATCTTGTAAGAGTACAGTGGTAGGTGTACTGGAGTTCAGTAATATTAGAGGATACTTTTTTCTTTTTTTTTTTTCTTTTTGTGCAGAAATCACTCTATTTTTTGTACAAATGATGAAAAATTTAATCCAATAGTTCAAAAATTAAACACTCTGCCAGCAGACTTTTCAATAGATGTGTTATGCCCTTGTAATTTTGACGTCCCATTTATTTTAGCAGCACTGTGCAACAAAGATGGATCTGAGTATCTTTAAATAGCTTCATATCAAATAGAAAGCATGTCAGCAATTGAAGCATCACATACCAAAGTAAAGGATCATTGGTGCAAGAAAATATGCACCAAAACAAAAGGAAATATGTTACATCGTGGTGCTTTTCATATAGGTCCTGTGAATCTCTGAACCATGTAATTCTACCTTCAGAATCAAGCAATATTTCCTTTGTTCTTTCTTACTGCACAGATAATTTATAAATAAAACATCACATTCTGCTTTGTTAGCTACCATTCCTATAATATGATCCACCCTTTCGTAAGCATTTTGAAAATGACGATTTATTTCTCATGCATAGCTGAATGTAATCATAACCACTGTGGAGGGTAGTGCAGATAAAAATTTATTGCTAAGGCTTTCTTTTTGCTAATATGCCCAATCTGCTACTCAGTATCCCACCATATTTATCCACAGTCACTAACACTGATCTTCAATCACTCTTACCAGATGGAGCAAGGAGCCTCCTGAGGAAACAACTGTATGAGGGTCAGCACCATCCTTCAATAACCGTAGCACTGAAATTAAAAGAGGAAGAAGAATTAATGCAGCAATATATCTAATTCTGAGCTGTTAATAGGCTGATTCTTCATCATCTTCATTAAGAGATTTAATAATATATGTAAGCCTCTCAGATAACATTTGCAAAACTTTCATGTCAGCATTTCCCATCTCATCTATTGTAATGGTGAAGCCTGGAAGCAAAGGACCTTTGATAATGATGTTAAATATGAACAGTATCAAGGACTTCTCAAGTGGACAGATGAGCATGTCACTTCTGTACACAGGGGAGGGGAGGGGAGAGCTGGAGGAGAGTCCCTGTCTCAAGGTCACAGTCACTGGATTAGTTCATGTGGGAGCAAAATCAGTCAGCTGGTTTGATTTTACTTTGTAGAGTTCCCCTGAGATTTGTTAGCTTTTTCAGTAAATAATTGAAACAAGTGTTCACAACTTATATCACTTTAAATTAATCAACATAACAAAGCAAAGTGACCTGCACTCAATTTAACCTTTCCAGTGCACTGTCAGATCACCGACGCAGCATAATTCTTAAAACGATATTTGGAGTCCAACTCCACTGCCAGTTCCATGTATCAAACTCCTTTGAAATGAAAACAGGCTTACAAACCCAAGCAAAGCCACAACCCTTCATATAGGTGCTCACTCACGTGTGAAAATTTAGCACTTTTTCCCAATGGTCTTTATTGCCTTTATAACCTTTTCACTCAGAATCAAAGCACTGACTAACTCATGCTACCAGCGTTCATTCTTGGAGCAGAATTGCACAGTAACAATGCCTGATGTTATCAGGGGAATCCACACTGGTATTGCAACCCTGTCTTCACTAAACTGGTATGAAGAACCCTTTCAAAATGTCTCCCTCTAGAAGAATAACTGTCAATAACGTTTTCTGTGTATGAACACAGTTGGTTCTGCCAATCCTGATTTTAATCCTGATTTTAATTCCTATTTAAGACACATGGATGGAATTGTGTTAAGATATGCAAAGAAATTTTAAGTTCTGAGTACTCCAGAAATCTGTTCCACTGCAGTGCCTGTCCTACAGGAGAGCCACAAATTTGCCTCAAGGCTCTTCCAGCTTCTGTGAATCTGTCTACATACTCAAGTAGACCAAGTCCTCCTTATCCATGCATTTTTTGTATGTTTTCTTTCTCTCTAGATTATCTTGAAATTCCATTTTCACGGTACATTTAACCTTCTTACAGAATTGAAGCATCTGAAAGGGGTCAGTTGTCTTTCCAAATATTGTCCATTTACACAAACAATGATTTTTGAAAATGTTGAATGATTTTTGATGAGGTGTCCTACAAAAATCCACCCTAAGAAAGAAAATTTGGCTAAATGGTTGCAAGCTTGTAAAATTAAAGTGAAAGACTTGTCACCATCATCAGTAAATACTTCATACATCATAAACACACTGGTATATTGGACAAATATTTATAATAGTTATAAAATCCATTTCATATTTTGCTCTTTTTAAACTTTGCAAAGAAAACATCAACCTAAACCATTGTATAAATTCATACATTATTAATAGTTTCTTGGTGCCTATTCCTCCTCACCAAAGGTTTTGCTTATTTTAATTTAAATAACTGAACAAGGCTTTTATGTTCTGGCAAATGCCACTTGGAAAGTTCACTACTATTAGACTGTTGTACCCAGCATGTCTACCAAATGTAAAAACAAAACATTAAGGAATATGTAACAAATCAACTGTACAACAACTGCCAAGAAAGATGAAAAGTGCTGAAACAGAGTCGAAGTGTGGAGAAATATTTACAAATGTTCATAACTTCAGGAAAAGTGGATGAACAACAAAAAGCAAAGTCCTGCTGTCTGCTCTTATTTCCACAATTCCAATACTAAAGTACACAACTGTCCTCGTCTAGTCAGAGAGCATTAAAAATAAAGGTTCAGAACTAAGTTCCTTCTTCTTTTAATACCTAAATTTCTGAACACATACAGAGATGCTTCTTCAACCTCAGGTTTTAGTGAGTAATCACCTCCTTCCCTCAATTGTTGTGCAACTACATCCTCCTTAAGAATGAATATTTTCAGTGCTCCAGTGTCTCATGGTTTAACCCCAGCCAACAACTAAGCACCACACAGCCACTCACTCACTGGGATGGGAAGAGATGATATAAAAAGAAGGGACACATAAAAAACCAAAACAAACAAAACAACCAAACAAACAGATTATGCAAAACAAGTGATGCACAATGCAATTGCTGACCACCTGTTGACTGATTCCCAGTCCATTCCTAGTGTACAATTGCAGCCCTCAGGCCAACTCCTGCCAGTTTATATGCTGAACATGACATCATAGGGTATGGAATATCCCTTTTTGCCAGCTTGAGTCAGCTCTCCCAGCTGCATCCCCTCCCAGATTCTTGTGCTTCTCCAGACTTCTCACTAGCAAGGCATGAGAAGCTGACAAGTACTTGACTAGGTGCTTTCCAAAAACTAAGACATTAGTGTGTTACCAACATTATTCTCAAAGTAAATACAAATTGCAGTGCTATATCTGCTATTAGGAAGAAAATTAACTCTGTCTCAACTGAAACCAGGACATGATGTTATATCATTTCTTTAGCAGGTCAGATAATATTAATTCCATGTAACAAAAGATTTCCTAAGGCTCTGAAAGTAATTTCATTCTTCCAATTCCACCAGGTTTTCACTTGAACAAATTAACAGTCCAAGTTGTTCCCTTTCTTCCATCCCTACGTTCCAGGGGGAAACAAATAAATTCTACCTATTTCAGTCTCTCAGGAACTCTCAAGGAGTCTTTGACTGATGACTTCAGTGAGAGTATATAATCCTGTGAAAATGCTGGCTTTAAGGTGTACTCTCACAGATTGCACTGCTGTCAAAAGGTGGAAGGCTCCATATTCAACTGGATCTCTAAGTCTCTCCCTTCTGGCAGGGTTACTTTTCAGCCCCATCAATGTGGCTGACTGCATAACTCCACAAACACCAGCACAGTGGATAAAAATGCACACATCATGGGGAGGAAAAGCAAGTACAATGTGTTTTTGTTGCAGAAGAAGTCCTACATTGACTAAGGCTGATAATGAAATAACTTCCTCAGCCTGTGTTTCTACAAGATGGGATAAGCTGATGAAAGAGCCAAAAAAAAGTTTCTGTTCCCTTCCAGCATTCACAAAAGGATGTACAAATCAGTCACTGTGAATAGAACTAGAACTTCTGTGACAGGAACTGACTCTTAATGGCACAAAATAATTTCAGCAAAATAAAATGCAGTTTCTTGTTGGGTCACTGAGATGAACTAAATCATTAAGAGTCTTGGGATCACCAAAACTGGCTTTTGGGTAGGTCCTTCTATGCAAAGACAGAGGACGAAGACCTCTCTCTTTTGGCAGGAGTGGGGGGACACACAGGAAGGTCAGACGGTTGGGAAACTGCCTTTCTAAAAATATTCCACAATCATTTCATCTGGAGCCTAAAATAGGGGCCCAGCAACAGAAAAAGCCTGTGGCTACTTGCATATAGATAATACAGACAATTATTTAATCTCTTCCTTCCATCAAACCCCCAAAGACTTGGTTCTATGCAAAATTAATTAATGCCAGACCCATTTAGCTAAAACTTGCTGTTGAAACAAAAGAAATGACAGACCATTTACAAATCTGATATTTAACTTCATAAGAATGAATGCTTTCACCTTGCTTTTTTTCCCCTCCACAGAAATGAAGACCAAGATCACAGCATAAAGAATTAACACATAAACTGTAATCTTAAAAGAAGAATTAAATAACCATGACCACAAACAACTGATCAAGTTACAGATTAAAAAAAATAGGTTAAATGGATAAGAGCTTAATAATTCTTTTCTTTGTCTGGTTTATTTTTCCTCTTTAGTAGCTTAATCAGTGCTTCAGGAAATCTACATTGCAAAGATTACCAGGGCAAGATATGGAAACTCTCAACTGGGCAAGAGTCTTTGTTCTGAATTAGGAATCAGGATTATGTGCTACTTTCCTCTGCACATAAAGACAAAAAAACATGCCTATTTTCTTGAATTCACCCCCCTACAAAACACAATGAAAAAAGAAAATTAAGAAAGTAAGTTCACAGAAGCCTAATTCCCCCCCCTACTAATGAAACTCACTTAGGTCATTCACTTAAGATTTTACTAGTCAGTAGTAAACTCTTCACCTTATGTTATTTTTTCATTTTGATACAACTACTCTAGTTACTGCTAGTATTTTAGAATTAATTGCCCTAATGAGGACAGAAAGTCATAGATATATAGTCATAGATATATAGTAATAGCTATATACCAGAACTGCTATGTATGTCTTAATTAATGTAATTTTAAAGGGAGTTTCCAGGCTACTTTTAAAACTTGCTTTATTTCTAATATTTGTAATAAAAATAATTTGTAATGTAATAAAAATTCAGTGAGGAGACTTAAAACAGGCTTTAGGGCCGGAAACTGACATGTCTGTGAAAAAAAAAAAAAAGAGTAGATTTTCAGTAAATTCTCAAGCCTTGGAGTGTATAAACAGGTCTTTCCATTCTCTAATGTACTTTGCATTTGACACACAAAATTATCAACTATTTAAAGAAGAATTTTCACATCTAATTTCATATCTAATAAAGTTGATACACATATCATTGAAGTTATAAAGACTTAGCAGTAAAAAAACCCTCTGCAAGCAAGGTAGCTTTTTACATATCCTTGATGTTAAAATTTTATCTAAATGACTCTGGTGAGCTGAATAGGTTTCTACACTCCAGTGACTGTATTGACTAGAATACAATTTACTATATAGCCTCATAATCCAGAAAATACAACATGGCGCTGCCTGTTAACAACCACAGGTCTTGCACTAACTTCACATGCAGGACAAGGTCTGTAATGCTTACTTTGTCTGGGCTTGTTTTGGCTTGCTTAGAGCTTTGTTTTCACTTTTTTAGCTGTTACAGCGACGGGATAACGACAAGGTGACAACTAGTTAACATGCTTTCA